TACCGAGTTCATGTCTCAAGCTATCTTTTAGGATACTGCTGTAACCTGATTTGTATCTCAAACTACAACCTTCCTATTTTAGTAGTTGTTACGTACTCATGCCCTTGTATTGGGTTCATACAACCCCAGCACCCACATTCGAACTTTTCTTCTTTCCTGAATTCTTTATTGGTCTCTCCCTTACTTCTAGCCGGCAACCCGAAAGGGTCAGTTCACCTAGACTTTAGGTGTCTATATAGTCTTCCTTCCCTTGGTATATGCTTCCAGAGCACATTGTTCTTTTTCTCTGGTTTTGGCAGCCCGGCGGTTCGGCTGATATGTTCTCCCACTTAAGAACCTGGTCATTTGGTTCTCTGATCTCAGTTCCCGGTTCCAAATTCGGTCCTCCTGTAGTATTGTTGAAGATTGTACTACTTCTCAACTCGGGACTTGCCAAACAGATTTTCAGTTCTTCTGGTATCTCGAGTTTATTGCGCCAAGGTTCCCATTCTTGATGATGTGACCAAGATTACAGATTTCTAGATCCTACCGATCATCGAATAGCTATTAACCATATCACAGGGCTATTTTTCAAAAATGTTGTCTGTAGGATTCAAACTCTAGATCTGCCGTCTGGGGGTGCGACAACTCCACCACTTCACTAAGTCACCACACCCACTAAAAATCTATTCGTAAAGAGCTGGTTCCATATAAGTATTATATAGAAGAACGACTGCGAAATCATACTTTTTATCCATCTTTTGGGTCTCTAATTCATGACTTTGAAAATCATATTAGATATAAAGAGTGTCATGTATTTAAAAAATATACATTATCCGGATTCTGTAAATTATGCTGGACCTATATATCTCTTGGTTGGTTAGATCGAATTCTTGATGAATCAGAAAAAAAGCCTAATCTAAAATGCACACAAATGTCAATAAGTAATATTATATTACTTATTGCTATTAAAATATTTGAGTTCAAAAGCCTACATAAAAACCAACAACAAATGATTATAAATTATTGTGAATATAGAAAGGATACGTTTTTAGTTATGAAAATGGGGGAGGAAAATCATTTTGTTATACTGTAGCTACTATTATATTTGATGGTTTAACAATAGTTCTTAGTCTACTAACAGCATTAATTAAAGATCAGGTGGTAAGTATTAATTAAATTCAATAATAGAAGTATTGAAAATTAATAGTTTTATATTTTGAATATCTTATAACTCAAGATGAAATTAATTAACTATGGGATTCCTTGTACTAGACTTTGAATATCATCAAATGAAACTATAGCTCATGAAGAAAAAATTTTTCATAAAATAGCACTTGGTTGGACTCATATTTTGTTTATTACTCTAAAGAAGTTAGTTTTTAATAAGGCAATTGCAGAATTATTTAGACAACTATATAATGCTAAAAAAATACAATTTGTTATAGATGAGGTTTATTGTGTGTTTGATTTTGCGCATTTCAGGTAAATTCTTAATTATAAAGAATTAGTAATTTTAAAATTATAATTAATCTAAACTAACCAAAAGAGATTCATGGAGCAAACTAAGTGTTCTAAAAAAACAATACCCTCTTGCATCTATATTAATGCTAACTGCCATATGAGTATATGATGATATGCAAGCAATTAAAAAAAGCTTAAACCTGTTAGACACAAATTTAGCTGTTATCAGAAGCAATAATCATAAAAGAAAAGAGATTCAGTATGAGGTTTGCAAAGACATAATACAAATAGTGTTATTTTTAATGTTATAGCAAACCTAATTCGCGAAGTAGCTGAGGGTAAAATAATAATATACTGTGCATGTATAAAACTTTGTAATGAGATAATAGAACAGATGCAAAAAAGACTTTCTCAGATTGTTTTTAATACCTTTTATGGAAATATAGATGAAGTAAAAAAGGATATAGCAATAAAAAAATGGAAACATAGTGAAACCAAAGTAATGATCGCAACTTCAGCCTTTAGATTAGGTGTAAATGATATGAAAATTAGATTGATATTGCATTATATATTTCCAATGAGCCTTAGTAAATATCATTTAATTAATAAAACAGATAGTTAAAATATAAACTAACCTTTTATTTTAGCTGATCTAATTCAGCAATCTGGATGAGCAGGCCATAACCACCAAGATGTGTGAGATATAATATTTTATACTGATTGAGATATAAAAACAAATTATGGAATAATTACAGAAAATCGTAAGAGATAAGTTTAAATAATGTAAATACAACCAAATATTAAATAACTAAATTAATGTCAAACTAACCTAGTATGCCAAAAGATCCCACATTACCTCAAATAGCTGATCAAGCATATTTTTCAAAAAAAAAAAAGATATATTTAAGATAGTCTTTTTTTGTACTACAAAATATGAATGTTAAATAAAATTACTTATAAAACATCATGCTTGGAGTAGAGACCAAGAAACTAGTAAATATACTAAATGTGATAATTGTCATCATTGTATTAAAGATAACTCAACTATTAGAGATATAATACCTGATATTGAAGAGCTATTACGTATCATAGAGGTCTTAACTACAAATTACAATTATCAAATCATACCTGCTGATGTTGTAGATATATTAAGGAGATCAAATGCAGCTTGAATAAAAAAAATTGGATATCAACAGCTTGAAGAATTTTATGATCATCAAGATTTTAAAAAATTAAGAAAACCGAAACTACTAAGTATCGTTGAACTTGCAGAATTCATGCTTCAAGACTTAATCAGGAGAGGTTTAGTTTTGCAAGTTATTATTTTCAAGGCCACACGAAACAGGGTATATTTCATGTACTTTAGTTATCGAGGGGCTTGCAGATGGTGCCAAGGAAATAATAAAAGAACAAGAATAGAAGTATTTGATAAAGAACTAATAAGCTGTTAATATTCTAAAAATTCCAGAATATTCGATTTAGTAGTTCTGTAATATGGTTATGCATACCACAGATTATTTTTTGATGATCGTTATTACCAACGTGATCATAGTAAAATAAAAAAATCTATACTCTACCCTTAATAAAAATAATATAAGTTTCTATTAAATATTCTAAATAGTGAAAATTGGATTTATTTATTTTGCTTTAACTTAATTTTGTTTTAAAATTTTAAAATTTGCATTAAAGTAATTTATTATAAATATAATTAGACTGTAGCGATATGATTTAATTTAGTTAAACCTTATA